AACATTGTACTCTGATGAGATTATAATCTGTATATTACAATGTGTGGACTGGTAAGTGACATTTTACAAGACAAAATATGTGCATATTATGGGATTTAAATTCATGTTTATTTCTCATGTTTTTCATAGTTTAATTCACCAACCAAATCTCTGCATTCTTGTGTAAACCTTGGGGGTCTCAATAACTGAATGTGACATTACAGCTGCTTTAATTATTATAAAACCGCTAGGTTTTTTGAAGTAATAGGTTAATATGAATGCAGATGATTCGGTTCGCCCATAAGTACCGGTAATACAAGTCAACAGCAAATGTGGTACATCCTGCAATGCACACATTTTTTGATATGTCAGATACAAGTCCAACAACACTGATAAATTAATTATAATCTCCTTCAAATGAACAGTCGGGTAAATAAAAGTGTAGGATAGAGGGCAATGATGGTGAAATGACAACTAACTTCCATGATCTGATTTATTCATTATTCAAGTGTCATTATAATCTGAACAGGTTAAGTTTGGCAAGGATTTTGCAAAACAAACAAAGTAAATGAATTATAAATAAATCTGACAATGGAAATTGAGATGCATAAATAGGGGTTGCTAAAAAGACATCAGTGAACTCACAAAGTGTTAGATTAGTTCTTTGAGTTGGTTTTGCTAAATAAATTTGCAAACTCAATTGTAATTCAAAGGGTACATTGCTTATGTAAATTACCCATAATGCACCATTTAAAGATGTTCTAAAACTTATCGATAAGAGTTGACAAAGAATTAATAGGTTATGCAATAATGTCCAAAAACTGAGTCATCCAGAATAACAAATTCTTACTAAGTAGTCAACATTTTATGAAAGGCTCACTTTAATCTTTCATGACACGCCCCTTTAAACATGATAACCTTACCTAATACGATCCAATAGCAGTATTTCCACCATGTAAGGCTGGCATTGTGTTTTAAGTCAATATACAATTGGGGATGCAGCATCAATGTTCTTGCACTTAGATTTTGTTCAAATATCCCGTAAATAAGGATAGGTAGTGATGTAAATGTGACATTATAAAATGTTAAAAATAAACTTTCATATAAAGTCTGAAATGAAAGACAGATGAATAATGAATGCATGAAAACACAGTGGTTGTAATGGTGAAATCTGCATTCTGAATGCATGAAAACACAGTGGTTGTAATCTGCATTCTTAATGCATTTATGAATAATATGTTTCAAGCATAACAATAATTTGAATGATGGTTGATATTATATGACAAAGCAATGATGCAAAATATATATATTTTTTTCTTCTGATTTATAGTGAACTGCTTCATTTTATAGGAAATCTGTTTTCATAAATTTTGAAAGGGAAGTCAAACAATTTTTTATAGTGATATTTTCAATAGACTTGTCAAATCTAGCCCACAAATTCATCAATTTATTTGCTTGTATAACCAAAATCAACAGTGAATGTCATCTAACACAAAAATGTTTTAAAATTTGAAAAAAAAAGATCACAAAATGGTTTCACTGCATTTTTAACACATTTATTCTGGACCTGTAGCTAGTTGGAAATTATGCCCATCTGGACCTGATTTCAGCAGGTAATGTGTTAACACAACCACTCAATAATGAGATGACTTATACAAAGAGGACAGCATTTGACCTTTGACACATGTATGACTATAAAACAGAGACAGATTGTTACACACATACCTGTTGCGAGAAAGCATTAAAGAAGGCAAAGTAAAATTGAGGTGTGATCATTGCAAAGTTCTGTAAAAAAAAAAAAAAAAAAAAAGTTATAAAAAGATTCATTTGAATAATAAATATTTAATAATAATAAATAAATTAATAAGAAAAATACTGGTCACAGTTTATTGACAAAGTAGAATAACCAAAAAACTAGGAACCAAAAAACACTACTATACTATATTTATTCTATTACATGTAGAAGCACATCTTCAATTGAAGCAAATATACAACAATCGCAGTATTCTCTGGACAGAGAATGAACGCTCTGTGTTGCTCAGATGCCCACCACTGTTATGTGCAATTCTATGGCATCTGTATGGTGGACATATGGCCGAAAAGCTGATGAAAACAAGTTGAGAAAACAGCACAATCATAACTTTGAGGTAACTCTGATCATCCAAATTTATACAGGTTGCACATGTAGGTGTAGTTTTGTTAAGGAGAATCTCAACAGCTAGCCTGAAGTACAGTTTTCTGCCTTTGTTTTCATCGGTGATTGGTTGCCAGCAAGTAAATATGCCCCCCCGAGAATATTCAATAATTAGTCAAGAAACACCATACAGGTGAAAGACCAATCAGGTGAAAGACCATACAGGTGAAAGACCAATCAGGTGAAAGACCATACAGGTGAAAGACCATACAGGTGAAAGACCAATCAGGTGAAAGACCAATCAGGTGAAAGACCAATCAGGTGAAAGACCAATCAGGTGAAAGACCAATCAGGTGAAAGACCAATCAGGTTTGAGTTGTGGATTATCAACAAATACTTACCTTGTAGAAAAAATACTGTACTAAAGTAGTAACTCTAATATAAAACCAATGTCCATGGACTAATAAAGCTTTCTGTAAAAATTTAAAACGACTAAATGCATAGTCACTGCAGCGGACGGCTTGGCGGCCTTCTTTTCCCATAATACCTATGATGAATACAAATAGTAATTTGTATTTGCAAATGTATTTTCTACAGAAAAGTAGTTGGTTAATAACAAAAACAAAACACTTTATATGAAGCATAGATTTATATCAACATTCAACGTTTGTTTACGACTGACGTCTACGGTTTTGGTATTGGAGTTATATGCAAGTGCATATTTCAGGACCACGTCATTTTGCGTGGCCCACCAGTCGGGTTTTGGACATTAAAAAGTAGTGAGATATCACAATGAATTAAATGAATATCATAATAGCCATAAAGAGCTCCTTTTCGTGCCATATTGAATTCAGAGTTGATTCTACAGGTTGGATGGTGGTGTAGAATTTAATTCTTGCAGAACAAGATGAAAATATACAATATTTTGAATAAAAATTCATTGAATTTTTCATTACTTCATGAAAAAGTTGGGTAAAAGTCTGGCTCAACATGTAATTAATAAGTTTATCATGTTATGTAATGGCAGGAATTCACAGTAGCATATGCTTAACAGAATAAGCTGAAAAACCTGGGTCAAATTCTGTTCATGATTTTTGAAATTATTTATGGGTAATAAATTACAAACTTTATTAACTGCAAAGGGTCTGGATTAGTTATATTTTGATACAGAGATATTTGACTTATACTGGTGACAGACTTACCTAAACCAATATGTGCTTCTTGTATCATACTGCAATCATTCGCACCATCTCCTATTGCACCTGTGATTGGCTTAGAGTCCGAATTCTTCATTAATTTCACCACCTATCAGTAGATAATGATAAAAATAGATTTCAAAACTATGACCTGATACAGATCTTTGTTACCATCAAGTAAAAAAGTAAGTCCAGAGCTCTCAGCTCGAACGACTTTTAAAGCCACTCTTCTTGAAAGGTTGCATGTTTATCCCTACCAAATGGGACCTGAGACACACAGGATAAATTTGGTGACTTTCATTTGTACTTTGCACATCAAAGAAAATAAACGAAACAATATCGGCTAAAAACATAAATGTGATTCTAGTATGGTGAGCCACAGTAGTAAAATGATGATAGATTTCTAAATTAAGAATTACCAAGAAGTATAACATGTATGCCTGCACTTACCTCAGCTTTTTGTAACGGTGACATCCTGCAACATAATACAGCAATGCATGCTTCACATATTTTTCTGAATAGATCACAGTGGTATTCCACGGCATAAGTCAAGCTCATACCATCCACCACTAATGCATGTTTAGGTACTGTATCTTCAGTTAACCTGGCATAATAAAAGTCATATAGGTTGTGAAATGAAAACTGAATATAGTAACAACGACAGTATTTGATGAATTTCACAATCCATTTTCTTGAGGTTAGATGCAAAAAAAAATGCTAAATTGGTAACAATAAAAGAAAGAAAGTTCCAAAAAACTTACTTCAATTTCAAATCATTCAAGGTATCCAGACACTGTTCTGGACTAGTCTGTTTAACAAGGTACATCTCGCTCATTCCAAGTTTAAAATGTCCACAGGAATAACTGATATTCACAGCTGTCTCTTGTTTATCTCCAGTCAACACCCAAACCTGTATACACAGAAAATATTAATAACTTGTAAAATACTGAAAACATTTATTTTCAGACATACCCCTTAAAATTGGGTGCAATCCAAT